TATCTTAGGTGATCACCACCTGCGGCTTTTCCGAGAACTGTTTCCACAGAGCTTTTCTGTAGTATTTTCCTGACTTTAGGACTACAGTAGGTCAGAGGTTAAGTTTCAGAGCAAAATGAGGTCCCAAGCAGAATGAGATTGCTTAGGTCTTTCAACCTGTTTTGCAAAGTGGCCTGTTGAGAGCCACAGCCGAGTTGGGATGGCACCTGGCATTGCCAGAGGAGTGGTTGAGGTGACACCAGCGAGCCATTAAGATGATGATAATTAAGTTAAGCTGTGTATAATTGCTGTGACTGGATGATGCTGGATTGGGGCAGGCTGTGTATTCAGTTGTATATAGACCCCTGCTATCCGGCAATAGGGCGCCCGCCGCTACTTTGGAGTTACCGCTGAGTTCGCTTGGAGCCCGGTGGAGGGCGGAGAGAGTTCAGGCAATAAAGTAATTCCTGTTTGAACCTCATGGCTGCTCGGTTATTTTGTGCCCAGCCAGACTGCGGCAGTGGCCTTCATCACAGGCAGCAGTAACTCAAGATGATTTCATTTGTCTCCATAAGAGCTATATTTCTTTTTTTTCCACAGATAAAGAAATATAATTGATCCACAAATATATGAAAAAAATGTTCAACATCTCTAGCGATTAGAGTAATGCAAATAAAACTACACTGAGATTCCATCTCACGCCAGTCAGAATGGCAATTATCAAGAATACAAGCAACAATAAATGTTGGTGAGTATGTGGGGGAAAAGGTACCCTTATACATTGCTGGTGGGACTGCAAATTGGCACAACCACTATGGAAAGCAGTAGAGAGATTTAAGAGCTAAATTCCTAAGTACTAAGTCAATGAGGTCATAGTTTAGGCAAGAGTTCATTGGCGTAGTAACCTATGACTTATACTAGCAAGTAAGTGATGTAGCTCCATTCCTACAGAGTTCAGAAAGCTACAAAGTCTAGGAAGATGAACCCTTCCCCCATACTTTGGTTCTTCATCATAACAATTTCATTTTATAATCTTAGAATTTCATTTTATAATCAGGTCTGGTATCTCCGTCACAGTTAGGGTGAGAGGGTGAGAGATTTTATAAGCAAGGGCTGTCCCCTCAAGCCTCTGTAACCCAACTTCATTACTTTGCAAAAGGAAAGCTTTCTTTTGGTTTGTGGTTTCAGAGGTTTTGGTCCATAGCTGCTTGGCCTTATCACTGTGGGCTGGTGGAGAGGCAGATAATCATGGCTGAGCAACACTACTCTTCTCACAGCATCCAGGAAGGAGGGAGGAAGGGAGGGAGGGAGGGAGGGGGAGGAGGAGGGAGAAGAGAGAGGGAGGGAGGGAAGGAAGGGGAGGGAGAAAGAGAGAAAAAAGGGGGCGGGGACAATATATACCCTTGAGGCCATGCCCCCAGTGACCTACTTCCTTCAGTGAGTCCCTACCTCCCAATAACACCGCCAGCTGGGGACCAAGCCTTCAACACATAGCTCTGGGGGACATGGAAGGGCCAAACTGTAACAATGGGTATCAAATTGCTTATGGTATTTTGATTCTATGGGACATATTAATTATTTCTTTTGTTTTGTTTGTTTTCTGGGGATACATTCCACCTTTCATTTCCATTTGAAGTTTCATCTCCACATCACATATCCATACACCAATTTCCTTTTTTATTGACTTCCACTTAAGCTTAAAAGCATAATTTGTTAGATAAGAACTGTAAACAAATATGACACATAACACACAGGAAAAGCTTTTAAACAAATTTATTGCCCCCAATGTGTTTTTTTTTAAATTATAAAAACAGGTATCAAAATAATCCTGCACATACCATTCTAGTAATTACACCCACACTACTTCAAAAATTACCACGATTTCTGACACCATTTCTTTTAGGGGCTACATTAGACAATTTCAACCATAGCTTTTACTAGGCAAGATGAGCAAAGCTGGTTTTCTGCTTTTCCTTCTTGAGATTTTTTTTTTTTTATTTTTCAGAAAAACACATCTCCACTGCAGGCTTTCATCTTGTAAACTTGAACTCTATTTTAAGTCTGCCAGGTTCCTATTTTAATGACAGCGCCTTAATAAGAAAATAAAAAAATTGTGCTGTGTTCCCCTCAATTACCTGAAAACACAGTGACTGTACATATAATAAATAAATTTTTACAAATGTCCAGGTCATGTTTACCCATGGAATTCTTTTGCTTGGTGTGTAGGTATGCTGCATGGTGATATTTAGTTAAGACATTAGTATGAGTCGAAGGTTGTTGATTCAAGACAAGTTTTAGATTCACTAAAATTAAATATCGTATGTTTGTTCTTCTGGTGGCCTTGGAAGCTTCGTATTTTCTTTGGAACATCATTGGATATCTTAGCTTTTTTTTTTTTTTTTTTTTTTTTTTTACTTTTTTATTTCGTTTTTGGTCCTGGGGCTGGAAGCCAGGCCCCTCATGCATGCTATTCATGCATTTGACCACGGAGCTACATCTGCAGCCCCACATCTTAGCTCTTGAAGCGAGACGTTTATGCTCTGTGATTTTTGCCATTTTGCTACTGCAGGTAAGCTCTGTATATCCACCATCCCTCTAGAATTATCCACCCCATTCATATTAATTTCTGCCACAAATCTAACTGATGGAGGAGTTTCTGGGTGGGTAGTTGTACCTTCTACTCTCACATCACACATGCTACTTTTATAATTCGTCTTCCTTTCCTTTCTATCTGGAATGTTCTTCGTCCCCATCATCACTTTGTGAAATCCTACTAGTTAGTCCCTTAAGGTTCATTCCAAGGCAGCTTCCCCCACTGTTCAGCCCTCCTCAATTACTTCAGCTTTGATGGCCCCCAAATCAGACCTGTTCACCTTGCAAGCACCACATCTTCATTATCTTCTTGGAGGCCCCAGCTCATGGCACCATCACTTACACCTTATGTTCAATTTCTTCCCATAAGTGAGAATGACAAGGAACATAAACTCCCATAGGGACTGCTGTCTTCTCCTGTAGCCTGCCTCCTGTTTAAAAGAGTGCTGTGAGAGTCCCATTGTAGAGCGTCAAAATCTACAACACACTGAAAATCACATCCTTTGCAACCATTGAAACGATGAGAAGAATTTAGAGGTCAATTACAAATGTAGACCTGAGTTTTTAAAAATTTCTTATTTGATGCAAGAACAAAAAATTTGATAACTACTATTGTCTCTCTCTGGATGTTCTCCCACTTTGTTTCACAGACTGGCAGCTGCCAATTTCTCCCTTGGCCAGACTGATGTAAAAAGGGTCCCTTAATCTCATAAGGAACCCACATTTCAGGTCCCACCATGGTCTCCAAAAGATCTAGCAGTAGAGGACCACAGTGCCCATCAGAGGGGCTTCCTCCTTGCTTTCAAGTCCACTGTTCTATCACAGTCGTCTCCATGCTATCTCCACCTGTGACTCCTCTTAACTGCTGTCAGAAAGCCTTCTCTAGGGGTGAAGAGAGCTTCTGTAGGGGTGAAGAGAGCTTCCCCTCCCTGCCCTTTGCAGGTTTGATAATTTGGCATCTGAACAACTGACAGATAATTAAGAGAAGACAATGACTTATTATTTATTACTGTATGTGGGGCATCACCCGAGGGAAAAGAGAACATCCCCAAACCTAATGTAACCTAAAGATTTATGTAACCTCTCTATAAGAGACAGGAGAGGAAGATGCAGGCAACGCAAGGAGAGGGAGTTATCATGAAAAGAGGAATGGGCTCTCAGGTGGAATGGGCTCTCGTGTCTGCATAGGATGAGAGATTCTACTCTCTTCCACCTATGGTGTATTGCTCATTCCTGATGGGATAGATAAGAATTTTGGGGAGCATTTTTATAACACTTGGATTGTAGGTGGAGGATCTGCTTTTGATCAGGCAGAGGACATTCAGGAAGAGCCCCTCTTCTGCATCTGCAGTTCCCTTCAGCCTGAAGTAACCAGCATACCACTTTGCATATTTTGGGATTGTACTTCCTGAATCCCTTCAATCCCTTACTTTTTTTTTGGTACTGGTGATTGAACTCAGTGGTACACATCCCCAGCACTATTTTGTATTTTATTTAGAGACAGGGTCTCACTGAGTTGCTTAGCACCTTGATTTTGCTGAGGCTGGCTTTGAACTTGTGATCCTCCTGCCTCAGCCTCCCAAGCCGCTGGGATTACAGGCGTGTGCCACCGCACCAGGCCAAATTTACTTTTTTCCCCTTCCTTCCTCCCTCCCTTCCTTCCTTCTTTCTTCAGTACTGGACATGAAACCCAGGCTGAGCTGATTTAGCTGGTTTCTTTTACAGACCATGGCAACCTCCCTCCACAACACATGTGCCTGAAGCAGTTTCTCAAACAGCAGAAACACTGATACATAGGGTCAGATAATTGTTTGCTGTGGGTGGGTGGCTGTGCTACCTCCCAGAGCAAATGTGTTCATACAGTGCCAGATGTGTGTGCTGGGTGGGGGCAAAACCGCTTCCCGTTGACAACTACTAGAAACACTTGGACATGCAGATGTGACCCAGGTGACCGTCCCCAGAGATGACGGAAGACTCTGTATAAATAAACTCCGACGCGATTTACAAAGCGTTTTCTTTTTACTTCTCCAAAACGGTAAGCCGTCAATCCTTGTGAGGGAAAACGGTAGAGACAGAACAGGGGAATTCATAGGTTTGGGGAATACATCCGCGACAAGGAGGAACCCTTTCCCCGACCCTCCCCGTGCCGCGCGACGCCTTCGCAGTGCACTCTGGGGCTTGTAGTTCCGGAAGGCGCGCGACGCCCGGACAGCGGGCGACTTAGTCTAGACCTGCGCACCGCGATTCCGGGAAGCTGAGGAGGGTTAAAGCGTCCTTTCCCCGCCTCTTAATCCTTCCGATTGACAATCAGGAAAGCCAATGAGTGACCTGTTTGATTCTTCCTATTATCTGATTGGCTTCGAGTTTTTCAACCGTCCGGAAAAACTCGCCGCGGATTGGCTGACGCTTCAGTTTTGAAAATCGTAGATTTCGCCCGCGCAGCGCCGCCCGGTTGCTCCTCCGGTGCTGAGAGCCTACGAGGCCGGGAGCCGGGAGGATCTGGGAGGCGGGGGCTTACTTAGGGAGACCGCGGACTTGAATCGGAGCAACCCTTTAGAGACTCGGTGCAGTCAAGTGAGTGAGCGCGGGCAGCGGGCGGGGTTGCGGGGGGGAGGTGAGCGACTTGTTCCCCCGCTTCGTGACCCCCTCACCCCTGCCCCTTGCAACGTAGAAACGTAGGGGTCCCTTCTTCTAAGTGGCGAGATCACACACACCCCCGCCCCCCTTAAACGCCTAGGGTCGGAGAGAATAACCCCGTCCCCTCCCCAGCCGGGGGCCTAGCACCGCGCTTTGTGCCAAGGACTTGGCTTTTGATTGACTTGGGCCCCCAGGAAGCCCCAAACCGGCCGGGCCGTCTGGAGGGACGGTGCCAGCGGACGTTTCGGTTCTGTTAAATCCCTAGCTCGGCGTGCTGCGCCCCAGCTGAGTAGCATTTTAAACTGGCCATTCGCACAGGCCAACGCTGCGGCTTATTTTGTCACCCCCCAAGCGCGTTCGCTGTCAAGCGCGGTTCCCTTCAGCTGCGGGCTGCTCGTGAGGGTGCCTGGAGCCGAGACTAGGCGCCCAGCTTTCCCAGGCCGCCGTCCCGGAGGCCTCCAGCGAGTGGTTAAGAGCACAATTTAAATCTAGGCCCCGCCCCTTACTGACTGGGCGACTTTGACTTCTTTTTCCTGTTTCCTTAGCTGCACACGGGTGTCCTGGAGATTGGGGCGAGAATCAAAAGTGATTCTGCCTGGCCCTGGCATGGAGTACGACTCCGTAATCGGGGCAGCCCTTGTAACACCTGCACGGAGGTGTGGTGGAGAGGTGTCCACCTCCCGTACTCCCCAAAGAGGAGGTGCCGAGGAGGGCCGTGGGGTGGGGGGGCTCTCGTCTGGTGTACGGTGTGGAAAAAGTGTTTGTGGAGAGGAAGAACGTCTCCCTCCTCAATGGGCTCTCAGGGTCTGTTCATAGGTTCTTAACCTGAAGATGGGGGTTTTGCTGCTCTTCCAGGAGGCTGATGGCACTCCTTCCTTTTTTCTCAGGGTCCCCTCTGTTCTAACTTATGGTGATCTTTTTTTTCTTTTTAATATTTACTTTTTAGTTTTTGGCGGACACAACATCTTTGTTTGTATGTGGTGCTGAGGATCGAACCCGGTCCGCACGCATGCCAGGCGAGCGCGCTACCCCTAGAGCCACATCCCCAGCCCCAAATGGTGATGTTTTTTAAATAGTTAATTCAAAGTCTGCTAAAACCACATCTACCCTAAGAAGTTCAAATGGTATTTTGAACTTAGCAAAAGAATCACTCATCCAGTTTGTCAGTTTAAACAAATACTTTAAAAAGTTGTCCAGTTGTTGCTCCCTTTAGTTCCTCTACAAACCACTTTGCTGGCCTTGGACCGGAGTCTGGGCTGTGCCCTGGGTGCAGAAGTGCTGGGGGCAGGAGAGGGTTGGCAGTGGAAAGGAGATGCCCAAGTCTAGCTGACTGCAGATGAGGGCTTTGCCCAGAACCTGTGTGTTTCTGCCTGTTTGGCCCTACCCAGTTAATGCTGCCCTTGGCATTTGGGAGCAGGAGCTTTGGATGTGTACTGGCTTGCCCTAACCTGTACCTTGAGTTGTTCAGTTAGTGTCACTGTTGTGATGGTGGAGAGGGGTTCCTATGAGATTGATGGATGGATGGATTAATTCATTCAACAAATGCCAGGTGCTGTGCAGGGCTCTGGGCTTTCAGTGATGAGTGAGACAGACAAGGGCCTGTCTTCTGGGAGCAGAGACAGGCAGTTAAACACACCCAGTGGTGTGCATGGGATTGAATCAATGGATGGGTTTGTGGCTGGGATTGTTTTAGATTGATGGTCAGGTCCTCACTGAGGATCTGAGATCCAAGTGGTAGAAAATGGGTGAGAATGTTCCAGATGGAGGGCAGAGCTCCTTTGAAGAACAAAGGCTAGTGTGTGCTCCAAAATTAGACCTAAGAAAATCCTCTGAGGCTGTAACCTGACCTAGTGTTAAGCTCCAGAAGGATCAAGGGGTCAGCAATCTGGCCTTACTCCCAGACCTTCTATCCTAGGTGGTAGGTTGAGCTGTGCATGGCTCGTCTTGGTTTTGAAGGTATAAATCAGGGTGTCACTCATGACATGAGGTGTGCAGTCTGTTATTATGGCTTATGGCCATCACCCACACTTTTGTTCTTTCATTCACTTAACAGTTGGGGTATTTATTGAACCCCTCATTTGACTGTAATAGAATACTTCATCTTAGCTTGGGACTTCTGTGATGATTATCTTACCAAGTTATAAGGAAGATATCTAAGCTTCTAGTTTTTTAAGAAAGTAAGGAAAAAAGCCCACCTCATTTGTGTTTTCCCTTTCCTAATATTTGGAGACAAGTTTTCTCAAAAGCAAGGGATTCCTTATCTTTTCCTCTCATGTTCCTTTATCCATTTATTGGGCATTTCAGCTCTAGGGAGAAGGTTGTGGGATCCTTTGGAGAACATACCCTACTTTCTTACCAACTTCTTAAAGAGGCAGTTGGATTTGATGTCTGGTGGGCTAGAGCCCGGGGTCAGCTCATGTGCAGCCCAGGGTGGCTGTGTCCTAAGCCCTTACATAACTCACCCACAAGTGCTAGGATGAAAGGTGGCAGGAGAGTAAGAGCAGGCCTGTGGTTAGGCAGGGAGAGGGGTGCTGGGGTGCCTGCTTTCTTCCTGATCCAAGAAGGCAGGTGGCAGTGCCTGTCATCTTAAGCCTGAAAAAGGTGATTTGTAACATTCGTAATAGAATTGGATGGGAAGTGTGGACTTACTGGGACAGCCTTTCCCTGAGAGTGTATATTTTAGGAGAGGGAGGTGCTTGGACTGCTTGAGGGTAAGGGTCCTTCTTTATGTACAAATGAAACCATTGGACTGGTGTTTGGAATTCTGCATCTGGAGAGGGGCCCTGCTTTGGGCACTGGGTGTCTTGTGGTGATTTAGGGGTGGGGTTTGTGGCCTGGCAACTCTTTTCTGCTGAACAAAGTACCGGTCTCTAACCCTGAACCTTTCTGTCTCTTGTCCGTGCCTTCACCAGAAAGAGCCACCATGGGGACCACTGCCCCAGGACCCATTCACCTGCTGGAGCTATGTGACCAGAAGCTCATGGATTTTGTCTGCAACATGGACAATAAGGACTTGGTGTGGCTCAAGGAAATCGAGGAGGAGGCGGAGCGCATGTTCATAAGGTGAAGGCAGGGGTGCTGTGCGGTGTGGGCACCAGGGGCTGCCTGGGATGCTCTGGCTTTGGACACATAGCAGGTTCATTTCCTACCTGACAGCTAAGCAGACAGCTCTTTCCTGAGGGCCCAGTGTGCTGGGGCCTGACCCAGTATAATGGGCAGGAGAGGGAGAGGTTGTCTTTGCCTGGCTCACTGTACTTGGTGGGGCCTCTCAAGGTGAGGGGCTGTGAGGACTCACCTGGGAACTTGCTTCCCTGTCATGTGTCCCGGAGGAAGCTCTGAGTGCCTGGCAGGTGATTCACACAGGGCCTTGGAGAGCTTTCTTGGTGCTGGTAACCCCAGCTTTACCTGTCACTGCTGGGAAATGGGAGGAGGGCAGATCAATGAAAGGAGGACCTGGCTTCTGCTAGGAAGTCTCAAGTGTCATTGTCCTTGTACCAAACAGAGAATTCAGCAAAGAGCCAGAGCTGATGCCCAAAACTCCTTCTCAGAAGAACCGACGGAAGAAGCGACAGGTTTCTTGTGTTCAGGATGAAAACAGAGACCCCATCAGGAAGAGGTAGGAGGGCCAGGGCCAAGTGTGCTGGGTAGGTGGTCTCTGCTGAGGCTTGGTGCCCTCTGGGAAGGTGTTGGAGGGGCAGCTACCTGCAGCTGTGCTGGTGGGTGAAGCATTAACCAAGCATTAACTAGGCAGTGAAGCAATAACCAAGACCATGAAATTCAGAGAGTGTGTGAGTGCAGATGCCTGTGTATATGTTAGGGGTGGGGGAGGGGAAGGATTCCTAGTTTGGGAGACAAGAGAGAACCAGTCTGTATTGGGTTAGAGTGACCAGAGGTATGGACCAGATGACTGGTCCAGCCCTCTTGTTGCTGGGCATGTTATAATTCCTCACAGAAATGGTGACTGCAAAGTATTGGAGTGAAGTCACTGGGTCTTAGAGTCAGGCAGTCTGGATGTAAACACTAGTTCTGTGCCTTATTAGCTGTACGTACGTCTCTGGGCTTCTCTGATCCTGTTTCCTCATCCCCCAAAGTGGGTATGATGGTGCTGCCATCCCCGGGGCCATCTTGCAGCTTGAGATCATGTGTGAAGTTCATAGCAGGGTGCTAGACAGTGTGACCTCAGTCAGAGGGAAGTTTATAGTAATTTATTCTTCCCAGCAGTTCTGTGAGGACTGGACATTGCATCCAGCTTATAGTTAGAGAGACTGAGCAGCCAGGGTCTCATGGCTAGAGGTGGCAGAGCATGTACTGGAACCCCGATCTTTTGCCTCCAGTCCTCTGATTTGCACTCCAGCCGAGCTGGTGGCTTCTGGAGAGATTGGTCTGTTCTGGCTTGAGTTTTTTGAGGGGTGCCCATTGCCCTGTTGAGCTATCTCAGCCCCTGCTTTTCTGTCCCCAGCAGATTATCCCGCAGAAAGACTCGGAGCAGCCAGCTGAGTTCCCGGCACCTCTGTAGCAAGGACAAGGTGGAGAAGCTGGCCACAGTGATGGGGGAGAATGGCTCTCCTGTGCTGCAGCGGGTGACCCGAGCTGCAGCCGCCGCAGCTGCAGCCGCCGCAGCTGCAGCTGCCGCAGCTGCAGCTGCTGCTGCAGCCTCCTCCACAGCATCGGCTGAATCTTCACCTATCCCCGAGCTTCCCAGCATGCTGACCGAGAAGCCCATGGTGGTGATAGGCCTTACTGAGCGCCGGAGTGCTGAGCAGTGCCTCACTCAGAGCATGGCTGCCTCAGCTCTGTCACGGGTTCCATCCCCAGCTCCCACTCCAGCTGCACCTCCGGCTTCCCAGGGCATCCCGACATCGGATGTTGAATCAACACCTAAGAAGTCAGAGGCCGGAAGACTGGAGTCTGTCACAGTGAGCTCTTTGATGGCTACGCCCCAGGACACCAAGAGTCGAGGGGTTGGGACTGGACGGTCTGTGTCCAAGCTCAAGATTGCGCAGGCTTCCCCAGGTCTGTGGGACTCACACAGCTCTCCAGACTCTCCATGGAAGGAGCGGGTGCTGGCCCCCATCCTGCCAGAGAACTTCTCCACCCCCACGGGCTCCCGTGCAGTCCCTCAGTCAGTGCGTCGCAGCCTGATTGCCCTGTCCTCCCCGGATGCCCAAGTCTTACTCACCCAAAAGTGTTCCCTGGTGTCCAGACAGGAAGGCACCAGCCGCAGATCAAGCAAAAAGATCAAGAAGGCTGCCAAGGAGCCAGCTGCCTCTGCCCGCATCATCTGTGAGTGTGGGGGGTGGTGTGAACTGGTCCCTGATTCAGCTGAGTGTTTCTGAGGGACCACCTAGCAGAGAACTTTCTGTGATGCTGTGACTGTTCTGTATCTGTGCTGTTCTGTATGGTAGCTGCCAGTTAGCCACATCTGGCTGTTGATCACTCAAAATATGGCTAGACTGATTGAGGAAGTCTAAATTTTATTACATTTTTATTTGATTTAGATTGAAATGGCTACACATAGCTAGTGGCTGCCATGTTGGATGATAAAGGTCTAATCCAACCATTATTTTATAGATGAGGAAACTGAAGCATAGAGAGGTTGGCCCCAGAGTCCCTGTGTTTCATGGCCACGTTGAAGTTGGAACCTTTGAGGAGGGTCTTCTCAGAGCCAGTGTGTTCCTCCCCTTCCCTGTCCTGCAGAGACTGACTTAGATGCAGCATGCTGGAATGCCACCTCCTATTGGTGAAATCGCGTTTAGTCTGGAATGTGGATTCTCACTGCCCCAGGCTCATTCTGGAGCAGATGACTAAGTATCTGGTGAGAGGAGTAGGAGGACCAAGTTGACTCTGGAGCTAGAGTTCTGGGTTTGGGTGACAGCTGGGCCATTTACCTACCCTATAGCCTTGGGTAGGTATGTAAGTGTCTTCGGGGGCCTGGGTTCTTCATCTGTGACCTGGGATAATAGCATCACCTTACAGGGGCATCATGAGCTTTTCTTCATTATTGCACCTAGGGTGTTTAGAATCATGCCTGGCACAGGAAGGACTCCATGGCATTAGCTGCTTTTATTATCATCAGATCTCAGTGAAGGGGACCTGTGCCCTAAGTGTTATGAGCCACAGAAGGGAGGTAGGCATCTCTGTGAGTCAGGGCTGCATGATGGGGGCGGGTCTGAGTTGGGAGGGTTTTGAAGGATGGCTGGGCTTTGGCTAGATGGGAAAAATGTGGGGATAGGCATCCCTAATGGGAACAGCTTGAACAAAGACCTTGAGGGTCAGAGCAACAAGTGATAGGGTGTCTGGGCTCAAGTGCCATCTGAGGAGCTTGGGCATAACCCCACTGGAGCAGAGGAAGTGGCCCATGATAGTTGTTAGAAGATTCCTAGCACCTTGTGAAAAATGGCCAAGAGGGCTGGCACAATGGCACATGCCTGAAATTGCAGATTCTTATGAGGCTGAGACAGAAGCCAGCCTGGGTAACTTACCAAGTCCTTTTTTCAAAATAAAAAATGAAAAGGACTGATGAGGTAGCTCACTGGTACAATGCTTAGGTAGCATGTGTGAGTCCCTGGGTTCAATCCCCAGCATTATGGGGAAAGAAAAGGCCAAGAGGAAGGAGGGAGGGAGTCAGGGAGCTGGAGGCTGCTGCAGGGCAGACTAGAGGTTGGTCTGGACAGTGAGGTTGATAGAGAGGATGGGCCACGTTTTATATTAGTGGGTGGTACAAAGTAACTGGCATCTGCCTGGAACTTATAAAATTTGCAAAAGAAAAGGTTATCTCCTTTGGTCTGTGAACAGCACTGTTTGCTTATTAGGATTTCCTTCAACAGAGGAGGAGACAGGCTTTGGAGGTCATGGTGTCTATTAATTGGAAAGCTGGGGCTTGAGCCCTACTAGTTTTATTCTGTCCAGGAAGGCAAGTGCTTGCTGAGGCCTGTTGAAAGCCCCAGGGCAGGGCCCCTCAGGCAGGTGCAGATACCTCACCTTGGCAGGTTTCTCCTGGGCACTGCCCTTGGTCGTGTGGTGGTGTAATTTGGGTCTTGTGAAGCATGGCATGCGGCAGGAGTCTGGTACACTGTCCCTTTTAGATTCTTAGACGTACCTAGGTGGCTCATATCTGCCTTGGAGGTTTCCCCAGGCCCGAATCTGATCCTGAGAGAGAGGTCCAGCAGGGGCAGGTGAGGCGGGGGCTATAGGAAGAGAGAGGATCTCTGGAGCTCCTCTCATGCTTTGAGATCAGATCTGTAGTTCCAAGCCCTTCTGGTTGCTCTTCCTTCTCTGCCCCTTCTCTGCTCCCAGGTGGTCTTCTGAGTGGACTGGCATGTGACCAAGTCTGTCTGACTCCAAGCCTACTGCTCACATTCCTTCTTAAGATGGAAGGAAGAGGGAGAGGAGGAGGTAGGGTCTAGGATCTGGAGTCATAGAGACTCTGGGTGACCTTGGGTATACCCCTTCTCTCAACCTCAGTGTCTGCATCTGTGAAACGGTGATAGTACCTGCCTTGAATGTGGGTGGAGAACCTGTCTAGTGCTTGGGTGTGGCACATGCTTAGTAGATCTCACTTAACAAGCCAAACACAGCAAGGGCAGTGTCCCTGAAGCTCCGTGTAGGTGTGACCAGGGTACACAGCTATGGAGTGGTGAAGAGGGGATGTGGAGACTTTGTGGGTGTCTTTCTGACTCCAGACTTGGGTGTGGCTGGATGGGCAACTCAGGTGGCATCTTGGTTGGGGTTGTCCCCTAAAGCAGCCTTTGCCGCAGGGATTTACATGCAACTCATTCTTTTTAGAAATGAGGGAAGTATCTGCAGCAGGAGAGTGGAGAGGAAATGAGACAGGAAAAGGTGACTGGCAGGAAAGGGTAGACACAGGGGACATCTGGAAGCCTGCGTGAAGCACTGGTGAGGAGCTGCTGACCAGGGACACGAAGCCCTGGCCCTCTTGGCCTGGTGCACAAATACTGAGGAGGGGCTGTCTAGCAGCAGTGGACAGGCAGGTTGGCTCTCAAGTGGATAGGCAAGGGTCAGGGGCTGCCACTGTAGGGTTTCTAGAAGGTTCTGCTATGTAGGTCAGATTCTGTTGTGGCTTCCTGGCCACTTCTGCACTGGGGAATAGTCCTTTAGTCCTTATGCCTGGCCTTAGGCCACCTCCCTGCCACCAGACCTGCTCTGACGCTGGAATGGAAGCTAGGAACAGAGCCCTGTCGTGTGAATAGTCATTCTGACTGCCATTCTGACTCTGAAGCTGCTCCTCCCACTGGCTACCAGACCCCAGAAAGAGAGGTCCCCCCTTCCTGCTTCTTGCTTCCTCCTCGGTGCCTTGCCACTCTGTTGTTCCATCCCCTTGCCTGTCTGCCCGTAGATCCTAGCTGCCTCTCCGCCTTAGCTCTGGTCACGCTCCCATGGCTCAGGATGAGCCAGCTGAGCAGGTCTGCCTTCCACACCCCCAGAAGGCTGTTCTGTCTCTGGCTCCGGGAGGTGCTTCTCCTTCTCCCTAGACTGGTGGCTCTCAAGGTTTGGTTTCAGCACCTGCTTCCAGTTTTAAAAATCAGTGAGGACTGCAAAAAGCTTTTGATTATAAGCTAGTTACTATATTAGAAATTAAAAGTAAGGAATTTAAAAGTATTTAAAATAGTTAATATTTTATAGAAAATAGAAATTACTTAATAGTTGTTATCTATTAATAATATTTTAATATTAAAGGATTTAAAATATTTAATATCTTAATATTAAAAAAACTAAAGTGTCAAGCCTTTTACCTTTTAACATAAGATTTTTGCTGAAACAACTTTTCCAAAACTGACTGACCTTATTCCACACTTCTCAGATCTCTTAAATGTGTGGCTTAGCTGAAGACAGCCAGATTCTGCATCTTATCTGCTGCATTTTGCTGTTTGGGTTGATGTATCTGAGAAATTTGGCCTTACACATGTGTAATCATGGGAAGAGGGAGGGCTTTTATCTGGCTTTTCTAGATAATTGTGCATGTCCTTTGTTATTATACCCAGTGTAATAAGTGACAGTTTCATGAAGGCTCCTTGTAATGAAATCATGTCGTTGATTCCTCATTGACCTGTCTTGCGCTTTGACTGAATCAAAGTGGTTTTATAACCTTATGCATTGGTCATTTGGAAGATGTGTTTCTTTGAATTATACATCTTCAAAAACATCCACAGACTTCTTTTTGTAATATCAAATAAGCATGTTTGTTTTCTGATCTCATCAGAAAAGTCTTTAGGTCTCGGGAAACTGCAGTGCTTCCGGTGGTGGACACATGTTTTTCAAAATTCTACTTTTTGGGGGGAGAGCTCTTTTTTTTTTTAATGTCAACAAATGCATTAGTTGTTATATTTTAAGGGATGGATTCACTTCATTTATTTTTAGGATATTGTCCAGATATCCAACATTGGATAGCTGAAGATTGCTAATTATTCTTTCAACTAAAAAAGTTGAAGAAAAATTGCTAGTTCAGCTGGCAATTCAAACACAGGCACTTTTCATGGAGACCTGGGTTTGTAGTAGATGCACATTTTACATACTTAACCACTGTGTTGAGCACAATATTAAAAAGACAGGCACTTGAGTTTAGATTTAATAAAATTAATGCTTCTTCACTGAGGACATTTAAAAAAATTTGCTTTTTTTAAATATACATAACAATAGAGTATATTTTGTCATACATATATGGGGTAACTATGCTAATTAGGATCCGAATCTTGTGGTTGGGCATGATGTGGAGTTACATTGGTCATGTATTCAGATATGAACATAGGAAAGTTATGCCCAATTTATTCTACTGTCTTTCCTATTCTCATCCTCCCTCCCTTCCCTTGTTCCCCTTTGTCTAATCCAATGAACTTCTATCTTCGCCCCCACCCCTTATTGTGTGTTAGCACCCACATAGCAGACAGGACAGTGTTAGACTGTTTATATGAGATAAGATGATGCTTTCTGCTGTGGTCTTGATTGGTGCTAAGCTTCTGTAGTCCCCTTCTCCCACCTCACCCCTTTTGTGTTTTCAGGGCAAATGTCAACCTAGTGAAAATGGAAAGTAATTATTTAATATTAGGGTGAAATGGTTACGACCTCGTGGAACTCCAGAAAAGGTCTGGGGATATCCAGGTTTTGGAGATTACTGTTTGAGAGCCACCGGCCTGGGCTTCCTTCTCCCTCCCATTTCTTCCCTTTCTTTGTTCTACACATTGAATCCTCCAGACCAGTTCAGATTCCCCTTTTTAGGCTTTTAAAAACCTTTGCTCTTTTTTGTCATTGCTCCATAATGTCCTTTATGGGATTATTTGTTGGTTGTGAAGACCAGACAGTGACTCTGTTGGTTTTGCTCACTGTTGGTTCCGTGGGCCTGACTCAGGGCCCAGTACATACCAGGCACTCGATGAATGTTTGTTGAATGAATAAGCTCTTTGTGTAGCACCTGTGCTGGGAGTTGAGGACCCAAAGCTATGCCTAGTGAAGGAGCTGAGTTGTGGCCTCCGGTGGCCATGTTAGGCAGTAGCAGAAGGCATAAAGTCTGTAGGTCCATTGAGGAAGTCAGGCTAAGGGCCCAGGACATGGTGGGCCTGTGTCTCCTGAAGGGAGCGATGGCTAAGCCCTTGCTAGAGCTGATTCTGTGAGCCTCTTGGTGTGGTACATGGCCAGTTTCTGAAGACACCTTTTGATCCTTTGTTTTTCCATCAGGTCACAGTTACCTGGAGAGGCTCCTGAATGTTGAGGTGCCCCAAAAAGTCAGGTGAGTTCAGTTCCAGGGCTAAGGGACACTCCCAGGTGTGGGCAGGGCACTCTGGGGACCAGGGAGTTGAGGTGAGCACCAAGGATGGAAGCATTTCCTGCTGCTGCGCCCTCCCTCCCCGAGCTGGACCATCCATGGCATTGCTGGCAGCCCTGCCCTTCCCCCCAGCCCGTTTAACCAGCCAGTGAGCAGCAGGGTGCCGGTCTCTATGTAGTACTTGTCAGCTCTGCTTGGCCTGTCCTGGTGGAAAGGTGGGCTCCATAGGTTGTAGATGAGGTAGAGCAGCCACGAAGAACGCCTTCAGATTGGGGCAGGTGAGGTAGAATGGGGGTAGCCTGGAGGATTTGGAGTGCTCCCCATTCCAGGGTCACACTGCCTGGGGCCATGACACTGACTCCTCTTCCTGGAGGCCACGTTCTGCCATCACTAAAGCCAGCCCCCTCCCTTCTGGCTTTGGAGCAGAGGGCCACCGCTTGGGTTGGGCATACCTGCTGGCCTGACCAGCCCCTGGACCCAGAGACAGGGCTCATCTGGGTCCAGGAGATTGCAGTGAGCTGGGAGTGGGCTCTGTGTTAACTTTCCAATACAGACACCTGAGATAACCAACTAATAAGAGAAAAAGCTCCCAGTTTTAGTGGTCTCAGTCCATGATCAACTGACCTGTTGCTTTGGGCTTCTGGCAGCAGCATGCATCACAAAGGAGAGCCTAGGGGCGCAAAGCCATTTACCTCCGGGCCAGGAAGAGAAGGGAAGGAGCCGGTGGGGCCTCACTATCCCCATCCAGACCACATCCCATTGACCCTAAGACCTCCACTAGTCCCCACTTCTTAAAATGCCCATCACCTCCCAGTAGCGTTACTCTGGGGACCAGCCCTTTAACATAGGGACCTTTGGGGACCAGGCCTTTAAGAACCAAATGATAGGGCTGGGGCTGAGGCTGTGCTCAGGGGTGAGCGCTTGCCTAGCATGTGTGAGCACTGGGTTCGATTCTCAGCACCACTTATCAATAAATAAAATAAAGGTCCATTGACAACTAAAAAAAAAAAAAGAACCAAAGGATAGCAAGCTGCCCTCCCAATCAAAGCCATGATGGGGGCGAGATGAAACCAGGTTCAAAGCTGACATCCTCTGCCCAGGAAGCTGCTGGTCATGGCTATCATCCTCCCATCATGCCTTGGGGCTGTCGGTGTGTGCCCAGGTCAGGTCCTCTGACACCGAGTACCCCAGAGACGGGGGGAGGGCCTAGACTTGCCGGGGAGTCCCTGTAGTATCCCCTTCTGCTTTCAGCCCTGAGCACAAGGAGTCCAGTGACAAGGATGAGCCTGTGGAGGCAGACGAGCCAGAGGTGAGGCGGGCAGCCCCGGGGGAGGGCCTGAGGGCCCCCGGGGCTCTGCTCCACATCACAGTCATCCCAGGCCTTCAGTTCCAGGCAGGGCCCCTTAAGCTTGCTTCTTCTCACAGGCCTCCAAGAATGATGGGAGTAACTCGAGGCTCCATGGTGCCACCAAGGTTGCCCCTAGTACGACCACGTTGAAGCCTGCAGCTGGTGACCAGGAAGCACCCTCTGAAGGGCAACAAGGTGAGTCTTCCTGACCTGCTGCATGCAGGTACCAGAGCCACAGGAGGCCGTGCTGGTCTCAGCCTGGCCTGTCTTGGGACAAGGAACCCCATTTTCTGGAGTAAATGAAACCTGAAGATAGCATAGATCTTCTGGCTGGCGCTGTTGCTGGGTGCTGCACGAGTGGCCTTGGCTGCAGGAAGCAGGGGGAAGGGCCTGAATCAGGGTATGAATGTGAGGTGCCTGGTTCAGGCTTTGAACTCTACTCCAAGGGAAAGAGGGGAGAGCCTGGCCGCCAGCTTTGTCTCTGTATCTGGCTCACTGTTGACCTTCGTAGGTCCTTCCCTGTGGACAGAGGGCTGGAGAACCATGGCTCTGGGAGCTGGCCTGCAGCCCTCCCTGGCTTTCTGGGCTCCTCGGGGGATCCTGGGGTTGGGGTTACATCTCCTGGGAAGAGTGCTTCTCCTCTGGTGGGGAGAATACTATAGCTGTAAGATTTTGTGGCTTCCTTCTCTTTATGGCAGGGTCCGTGACAATGGTTGTGCCAGCCCTACAGCCCCCAGGGTGGCTGCAAGTTCCCTTTGGAGTAAGGGGCACTTTCTCCTAATGTGAAGCAAATCCTGAGCCTGCATTCCACATGGTGACTCTGTACAGGAGCCTGTCCTTCTGCCATGGTGTCACCGGCTCAAGGCCCATTGACAGTTTAGCAACTGTGCATGGAGCTTCAGGGGTTGTTGCTCCAGTGGGACTGTCCTGCCATTCTTGCCACAGATACCAGGCACTGGGGCTGAGGGTTCTGGCCTGGGGATAGTGTGTCAGGCTCTGGATGAACATAAATTCCTTAGAGCCAGTGACTACATTGCTAAGGCTTACACTTCTGTCACGGGCCACCCTGGGGGCTGCCAGGAAGAGCCTGCCCCTCCTATAGCTCCAGCTGGGAGCCACCTCTCCCAGTCCCTCCATGCCCAGCCCACCAACATTGTCCTGCAGCCCTGTTGAAATTGCTGTCTTCACAGAGGCCAAGACTGATGAAGCAGATAGACACAGAGAGCCACCCCGGAGTGTCAGGTTTGCACCTGGGAAGGGGCATGTGGGTGATTTTCTTTCAAGGGGTCCACAGGGGCATGAACTGGAAGGCTTTGCACAAGGAGGGGTCATTGTTGAGGGGCTCCTTTCTTGTTGGGATTCATGGCCTGTGTTCTGACTTATTGAAGGAGGCTGTTCAATGCTATGGTGCCAGCAGTGGCCTGGGAATGGGGTGATCTAGTCATAAACCCTGTCCCTCTGAGTATTTTTGGCTATGTGACCCTGGACTGGTCACCTTCCTTTCTCTGCATGAGCCAGAGAGCTGGCCTGGGAGACCCCAACACTATAGTCCCTTCCAGTCCAGAATCCTGACTTGTTTTTTTGGTACTAGGAATTGAACTCAGGGCACTTGACCACTGAGCCACATCCCCAGCCCTATTTTGTATTTTATTAAGAGACAGGGTCTCATTGAGTTGCTTAGCACCTCACCAGCCTTTGCTGAGGCTGGCTTTGAACTCATGATCCTCCTGTCTCAGCCTCCCAGCTGCTGGGATTATAGGCGTGAGCTACAGTGCCTGGCTAGGGCTGACTTTTTATGTTTTTTTATGGGGTGTGGCGGAGTGTGGGGAGGGTGCATGGGTCTGCCCTGTGACCGTTGCCAATGTGCCTGGGCAGGAGGAAACGCAGCTATAAGCAGGCGATGAGTGAACTGGACGAGCATCATCTGGGGGATGAGGAGCTGCAGCCCCCCAGGTGTAAGACTCCTTCCCCACCCTGCCCAGCCAGCAAGGTGAGTAGGCTCCCAGCTCTGTGCTGTTCCCTGTCCTGTTTGCCCTGTCCTAATCTCTTTCCTCACTGGCAGGTGGTACGGCCCCTCCGGACCTTTCTGCACACAGTGCAGAGGAACCAGATGCTCATGACCCCAACCTCAGGGTCCCGCAGCAGTGTCATGAAGTCTTTCATCAAGCGCAATACTCCCCTGCGTGTGGACCCCAAGGTGAGGGAGCCCCGTTCTCTGGTCCGGCTTTGCTCAAGCTGGGGCTGCTGGGAGTAGTGTGGGTCCAGACAGAGACAGGGGCAGAGGCAGGTATGGCCTGGCTCTGATAAAGGGCCAGTTCAAGGCTCTGTGGCCATGAGCAGCTTGATACTGGGGTCACTGCCTTGACCTTCTAGTCCTCTGGACTGTGGCCCAGAGCCTTGGTGGCTCAGTGTGAACCCTGGGCTGGGAAGTGGCAGGATGGGCCTAGCAGACCTACAGTGCTCACTGTCCTCCCAAGTGTGAGGGCTCAGGTGAGGAGTGGCACAGACGCTTCAGGTGGGCATGGGGTTGTACTGCTAGTGAGAGTATAGGCTCTGAGCAGACGCCTGCTGTCACTGCCAGGTTTGGGGCCTGCCTTGTGGGTTGTGCCCAGCCTAGCAATAACTCTTGGCTTTTTCCTGTCTTCTTCACAGTACAGCTTTGTCGTAAGTAAAGCCTGTTCCTGTCCTGTAACAGCTCACCTAGCACTTCCCTGGGTAGCCCTGTCTGTGTAACTGACAGCTGTGGAAGCACTAACATTGCAAGGGGAGCATTAGGAAGAGACGGGGATGGCGGTGAGGGGCATTTGAGGCACCGGGTGGCTGGCTGGAGGCACTCAGAAGTTCTGGGGTCTGGTGTCCTCCCTCTGCCGAGTCTGCCCTCTGCTTGTGACCTTGCTCTGGCAAGGACATAAGCAGGGTGTGTCCTGTAGCTGTTCACTGGGACTACAGCTCCAGTTGTTTCCTACCACCCCCTCTCTTCCCTGTCCCCAGCACTGGGGGCCTGTGGGTCTGCTAAGAGAACAGACAGATTGTCTCTGGTCCCCAGAGCCATTGAGATTTATTGGGTCACAGATCTAAGCTGTAGCCTTGAGTTGGTGGAGCTACGGGGGAGGGAGGTCTGGCTTTGAACTGGGCTATTAATAGTGAATTGACTCTGGGTCTGTAGCTCTGTGGTAGAGCATTTGCCCAGCATGCACAAGGCCCTGGGTTCAATCCCCAGTATTGAAATGAAACAAAATACCAAACCTTACAGTAGAATTGTTGTAGTGACATCTAGAAACAAGGCCACAGAAGCTGTTCTCTTCTCAGACACCTCAGCTGAGCTGAGCCAGGTTACTGACCTTGAGTAAGAACCTAGAGGAGCTCACGCCTGCTTAGCCTTCAGGCTGGGCTCCTGTGCCAGTTGCCAAGGCTAACCTTTGTTCCTTTGTTTCCTGTGGGAGCCCTGGAGGGCTGCCCACTGGCTACCAGAAGGGCTTCTGCCTCCAGCTGATCACCTCTGCAGGTGGGAGGGGCTTCCCAGTACCTGGCCTGGTGGGTCTGGAGCCTGCCCTTCCTGTAGGGAGCCCCGTTCCCTGGTGGGGTGATAGTGTGCCTTCCAGTTGTCAGCCAGGAGGCCGAGGCCTTACACTCCTGTTACTGTGCTAGGCTCCCACTAGGCTCCTGGGCCCACAGTAAAGAAGAGGACTAGCTAGCCCTTGTGTGCCCCACACCCTGATTTATTAGAGATTTGCAGTTCTCATGGGTGTGACTGAGACATCTGGGACGTTGCCCTTTTCTGCTCTGGGGAGTCCAGGCCCCTGAACAGGGCATCTGGTGGGTATGGACAGTCCTTACCTGGAAAACTAGGGGCCACACTTTCTTTGGGCCTATGTTTCCTTGGTCACAAAATGAAGAGACTAGTAAGAACTTCAAAGAGATTTGATGGCCCAGAGAGTAATTGTGTCAGGTACCTACTGCAGGACTTGGTATAAAGCCAGCACTGGGTATAGGACAGACTGCCTAGGTGAGGTCTCTGGAGGCAGAAGGGGCTTCCCTGGCTCATGGTGTCCTCCCAGCCTCTGCTTGGGCCTCTGGGGAGCGGGAACAACCCAGCCTGTTTTTGAGAAGCAGGCAGAGAAGAAACAGATTCTGTGACATGAGCTACTCTGAAGCACCAAGTTTTCCTACTAAATTTGTAATGCAACAAGATGAAGGGCTCTGGTCTGTGCTGGGAAAGCTGTCACTTGAGCTTTGGGACACAATTCTGTTTCACTGAGCCTTGCTGAAAGTTGGAGTCTGCTCTGCTCTTGGAGCAGGAGGAGAGGGTGGCAGTCTGGTGCCACATGGCCTTTGCTTCTGAGGTGCTTTCCTGGAAGGAGAGCAGATGGCCGCAGCTGCGTGGAGAAGCCTGTGGGCCCCACCCTCCTCTTGTTCTCCCCAGGTCTGGGTAGTTGCAGAGCCAGGGTGTGCTGAAGGCCTGCCCTTCCTCCCTCCGCGTGGAGCCCCAGTGTCCTGCAGGCCTTTTCTGCACCCAGCTTGACTTTTGTGGCTCCTTGTGTCTCTCTTTCCTCCCATTTTTCTCTTCACTTTTTAAGAAATGTTTTGTTTGAAACAGTGATCTTACAGTAAAATGGACTTTTTTTTTTTTTTGCGGGGGGTGGGGAGTATAGTTCAATGAATTTTAACATGATTTATGTAACCGCCATCACAGTTGGGATGCAGAACCTCTCCATCACCACAGAGCGCCAGTAGCAGCCCCTGTGTGGTCATACCATCCCTCTGCCTTGATCCTAGCAGCCATTGACCTGTTTGCCCTCAGCTCAGTGTGGTGGTGACTTTTGGAGAATGTCATGTTAATTGTTGAGTCATAGCTACCTTTGGAGATTAGCCTCCTGCTGTCTGCCCAAGGTCTTTGAACGCATCTGAACCATCATATTCAAAGCGAGTTTCTTACAGACAGCAGATAATTGGTTTTTAAAAAATAATTCTGACAATGCCTTAATTTGATGTATTTATATTTAATGATAGGTTGGAATTTAGGGCCACCATTACTTTATTATTATTATCATTTTTTTTGTTTGATCTTTCCCCTTTTCTTTTTTCAGAGGCTTACTAGAAAACTTTTGTGTGTTCCATTTTATCTGTTGTGATTTTGACTATCCTTCTGCAGCATTCTCTCCAGGTGTTTCCAGGCATTCCGTGCTCCACTTAGTCTGTTGAGCCACCATTTCCCCAGTGTGGGGATGTGCAAAAACCTCCCCCTGGGCCCCTTGGCCTCCCCCACTGTTGCTCTAGTTGTCTTGCAAATTACATCCTTTGGTTTTGACGACTCCATTAAGATACATTCTAATTTTGGCTTTCAACTGCTGAATATCTTGTTGAACTCAAGAGGAAAAGAATTTTCTCTTGACCTGGGTATCTGCCAATTCTGTTGCTCTTTCTTTGTTCTGGATATTTCATGTTTCTTTGTGGAGAGGAAAACTTCTTTTAATGGTTCTTTTAGAATAGGTGTGCTGGCAACTCATTCTCTAGTTTTCCTTTATCTGAGGAGCCTAGCTCTCTTCCTATTTCTGTAAGATGCTTACACTGGGTATAAATTTTTTTTTTCTTAAAAACTTTAAAAATTTCCTTCTCATAAGAAATCTTTAGTCATTCCAAATATTGTTCCTCTGTAGGGAGTGTATTCTTTTATTTTGTCTGATTTTAATACTTTACTTTTGTTTCTAGTTTTTAGGTTTGTTTATGATGCATGTGTTCAAGGATTTCTTTATAGTTTTGGGTGCATCTCCTGTCAAGGTCATGTGGTTCACTGACCTTAAATCCCAAGATCATGTATTTCACTGGACTTGGCAGAATTATCAGTCATTGTTTTTTAAAATGTTCTTAAGCATCACCTTCCTCTCCTTGTGAGATTATAAGATACTAATGAATCACATGAAGACCTGTTTTGTTTTGTTTTTTTGATACCAGGGATAGAACCCAGGGGCACTTAACCACTGAGCCCCATCCCCTATTTATTTATTTAATTTTATTTTGAGATAGAGTCTTGCTAAGTTACTCAGGGCCTTACTAAGTTGCTGAGTCTGTCTTTGAACCTGCAGTCCTCCTGCCTCAGCCTCCTGAGCTGCTGGGATTACAGGCGTGTGCCACTGCGCCTGCAGGCCTTGTGATTTTGTCTTAAAACAGTGAGTTTGGTTAATTTTTCTTCAATAACTTTTTCTGTTCAATTTGATTAATGTTTATTGATTTATGTTCAGTTTTGCTATATTTGTCCTGTCTTTTCTGCTGTTGAACTTATCCATTGAATTTTAAAGTTTCAGTTATTGCATTTTTAGTTCTAAAATTTCCATTTGTTTCTTTTATATCTCATGTTTCTTTGCTGGGATTTTTCTGTTTGTCTAGTTTTCGGGAAAATATTTGTGATGACTTATCAGAGCATTTTTGAAATACCCATTCTAAAGTCTTTTTCAGATAAATTCCAACAACCATGCCACCTTGGAGTCTGTTAATTGTTTTTTCCCATGTCAGTTGAGATTTTCCTGTTTCTCTGCATGTTGAGTGATTTTTGGATTGTCTCTTCAATGTTCTTCTTATTAGGCTTGAGGCTCTGGGTCTTGTTTAAATCTTGTGGAGAGTGTTGATATTTTTACCAACTCTGCAATTTAGCAGCAAGCGACTTGATTCATTTTCAGGCTGCAGGTTCCCATCTGTCTTCTGTGGCATGTGCATCCAAAGTCGGTTCATGTTTTCAAGCCTTTGCTGTATGGGTCTAGCGGAGTGTGTGCCAGTCTGAAGGGGCTTGAAGGTGATCTGTTTTATCTTAGTTTTGGGTGTGATAATTAGAGTCAGATGCTTGCATCTGCAGCCTGGAACAGAGCCTAGGAACTCATAAATAATCCATGGAATCCCTTTCCTGATTCCTTCAGTACTTTCCAGTTCTCTGGAACTCTCCTTTTCCATCCAGGGAGCTAGGACTTTGGTTACCTGGCTCTACCTTGTGCTTCTATGACTGCACCCAGGGCCACCTGGCAGAAAGACCAAGAAGCAAAGAGTAATAAACAAGTTTGAGCCTAGACTTTCAGGAACATAGTTCCATAGTCTGGAGTCTGCAGCAACTGCTGCAGCCCCTGGTTACCATGACAGAAAGGATTTGTGTACTGTCTCAGACTTTCTCTTTCTGCTCCCTGAGTCAGATCTAGGGGGCTTTTCTTGGAGTTCTCCTTCTGCACCCAGCTGATCCTGACCCTTTGGGGTTTCAGGCTGCACTGAGTTCAGGCTGGGCTGGGCAGGAGAGGTAAAGGAGAACTTATTGCTGGTGCTTCAGAGTCTGGTCTTGTTTCCAGATCTGCCTGCCGCTTTATTCTTCACAGGCTTCAAGTAGCTGTTCTCTGCGTTCTGCCAGGTTTTGTGACCGTCATAGGTGGGAAGAATAGGTGGTGCGTGCTTACTCTGCTCTAGCCCTTAACCAGAGCTTCAGGAGGATCGTGCCACGTCCCTGCTAGATTTCTTCTTGTCAGCGTCAGTTGGCCAGGAGCCAGGGAGAAACTGATAGTAACCAGTTGGAGGGGGAGCGGGGTGGCTGGCTATTGGAAGCTAAGTCCAAAGAGGGAGTGGAAGCCAGTTGAGGGTGGTGTGTGCAGGGCTATGGCCTTGGCTTCAGCCTCTATTTTCAGCCCCAGATCATTTAGGGGGAAAACAGCAGACTTGCCCTTGGCCAGGGAGTGTCCACGCCCTAACTGTGCCCTCCTGTGGCTTTTTGGGTCTGCCCAGATGGGGTGCTAGCATCGATCTGCTATACAACTACTACTACTTTTAAAAACTTGTTTTAAAAAATTCTATCATGGGAATTCAGAAAATTAAGAAATATCATATTTAATCTATCTCACCATAGTAACCTTTGTTAGCACTTGATAATACTTTATTGTTTTCAATGCTTCTGAAATAGTTGATGTACACAAAAGAATAAAGTATTCACAAATAACGTACGTTATAAAGCATGATGGTGACAGTGCTTGTGTGTGTGCTGGCTCCTTATGCAAAACAGTAGCCAGAGCTGTCAAAGCTGTCTTCTGGTCCCTTCCCAATCCCAGCCTCCATTCTCTTTTTCAAATGCATTATTTATAGAATCAGCACACACATTTCAATTTTGAGCCTGATTTTTGTGCTGCCCATAACTTGGCAGGGCACAGCTGAGGGTGCTTTGTGACTCCGGCCCTTGGAGGCGTTTGGATCCTCCTGAGAGCAGAGACCGAAGCCCCTGCCCAGCCTGGGTGAGCATGGAGGGCATGCTAGGGGCACCTCTGCCTCTAAGGAACATTCTCTGCTGCTGTCCACCTGGCTGAGGCTGGGCAGCCTTTGGAGTGGGGTTTGTCCTTGCTCATGTCCCAGCCCCTCTCACCCCCAGGAGAAGGAGCGCCAACGCCTGGAGAATCTGCGGCGGAAGGAGGAGGCTGAGCAGCTGCGCAGGCAGAAGGTGGAGGAGGACAAGCGGCGGCGGCTGGAGGAGGTGAAGCTGTAAGTGGCCTGGCCCCTGACCCTGCCCTTCCCATCTCCAGCCCTCCCGGGTCTCGTAAGACTCTCTGTGCCCGTAGGAAGCGTGAGGAGCGCCTCCGCAAGGTGATGCAGGCCCGAGAACGCGTGGAGCAGATGAAGGAGGAGAAGAAGAAGCAGATAGAGCAGAAGTTTGCTCAGCTCGATGAGAAGACCGAGAAGGTGAGAGCCTGGGCTGGGGCTGCCATGCAGGGTGGGCTCGCCCTGGTGGGGCCTGAGCACTCAGACTTGGCAGGCTGAGGGTGGGGCTGGGCCTCTTGGGAAGCTGTGGGTTTAACACGCTATCCTGTCTGTATCGTGGGCCCTGAAGGCCATTCTGAACCAACCAAGGGCTGAGATTCTGGGCTCTAGGTTTTCCCAGCAGCCTTTTGCGAGTGGGCAGAACTGACCCGCTGGATGGCGGCCGTTGCCCTTTCTCTGGGCTGTGGGGAGCAGTCACGGTTTTTAGTGGCACCGGTACCCATCACGCAGAGTTCTGGGCCCTACTCTGTGGAGCTGTGTGAGGGCCTCCACCAATGAGCATGTGCGGGTGGGCTCTGCAGGCCAAGGAGGAGCGGCTGGCAGAGGAGAAGGCCAAGAAAAAGGCGGCGGCCAAGAAGATGGAGGAAGTGGAGGCGCGTAGGAAGCAGGAGGAGGAGGCGCGCAGGCTCAAGTGGCTCCAGCAGGTGCGATGCAGGAGGGCTGCAGGGAAGGGGGCGGGCAGGAAGGTCACTGCCTTGGTGCCTGAGGACCTGCTGGGCACACCTTCTATTGGGGTTGATTCTGGTGGATCTTGTTGCTTTGAGCCCAGGAGGAGGAACAGCAAGTACCTCGGGGGTGGGGATGGTGACTGTAACCTGCCCCCTGTCTCTGAGGAAGAGGGCATTTTGAGGGTGAGGTGCATGCATTTGGAGTCAGACTTCTGACACAGCTCTGCCATTTGTTAGCTGTGTGACCTTGGGCAGGTTACCTGACCTCTCTGCTTCTGTTACTTGCAGTGGGAGCAGTATCTTCTGGATAGTGTTATTGTGAAGGTTAAAAGTGTCACCTGATGTGAGGTCGTCAGGCGGTATCTGGCATGTGCTAAAAGTCTTCCACATGATTGCCCTTAGAGCCACCCTTCCTCCCAACAGGAGGGGCCTGCCTCTCCCTGGGAACTGTGTCTCACTCCTATAGGGAGTGGACTCTGTCATTAGGGAGTTCTGTGCCGGGCACTGTCCTAAGTGTCATGTGGGTGAACTCACAACTCCCTGGGGCGTCAGGTACTATTCTTGTTCCCATTTTATGGATGAGGAAGCCATGGCCAGCGTTGTTAAGTGACTTACTGAGTGTTACACAGCTGGTGGGCCTAGCTCCAGCCTCTGTCCTTGCTTGTTGAATCTGCCTCTGTTGGTGTCACCAGAGGCCTTTTCAGCCTGGCCATGGTGGCGCTCGCAGAGCTTCACCTGGCAGCCCACCTGGCGGCTTAGCCCCTGCCGTTGCCTGTGCCAGAGGACCCTGGGTTGGCACAGCCCCTCACCCCTTAGGCCAGCCTCTCCCTCCCTGGGAGCCCTGGCTGGCGAGAGTGCCCTTACCCGCCTCTGCATGGCTGTCTCAGGAAGAGGAGGAGCGGCGCCATCAAGAGCAGCTGCAGAGGAAGAAGGAGGAGGAGCAGGAGCGGTTGCGCAAGGCCGAGGCCCGGCGGCTGGCCGAGCAACGCGAGCAGGAGCGGCAGCTGGCAGAGGAGCGCAAGAGGGAGCAGGAGCGGCTCCAGGCCGAGAGGTGAGGCCCTGCTCACAGCCTGCCTTCCCTGCGTGGGGATGAGACGGTGCCTTGTCACCAGTGTGGCTCCCGGCTTCTCTTGGGTTGGCAGGCTCTTTCCTTACCTTCAGAGCCGGGTGCCCATGGCCGCTGGCCTCCGAGTAGGGTGCACTTTGTCTACAGCAGACGCAGGAGCCATGGGAGGGGTGGCCTGGCTCCGGCTCTGTTCTGCCTGCAGGCAGTGGTGCTGCCTTTCTGGTGTCTTCTCCTCAGCCACAGGCAGGCTGGCACTTCCCAGCAGGGCTGCTGTGGGCTGGGACTACCGGAAGCCCACAGGTTTTTTTTTTTTCTGTTAACAAAACTGGCATCTTGGGCCAGAGGGATCTCTGTGATGCAGCATGGGGCCTTCAGCACTCGGGGCCCTGCCCCCACCAGATGTACACCCCCTGATGATGAGGATGACCCAGGGTGCCTCCCACCCCAGCTCCCCACCTTGGGGACTCTGGATTCCATGAACCCTGGGACCTGCTGGCTGTGCCGAGGAGTGGTCTCTGTGAGGCAGGATAGGATTCCGCAGTTAGTTTTCCAAGTAGTTACCTGAGGCCCACCTGTGCCTGGTCGCTGGGGTTCTGGGGATGTCAGGGACAAAAGCCACACTCACTGTTGGCCAGGAGATGTAAGAGGACTGTGCCCACGTGTGTGTGTAGCCCAGCAGCTGTCCTCTTTCCTGCCCCATCTCCTGGGAAACACCATCTTTGTGGTGGATACAGGCTTAATGGAGAAGTGAGGAGTCACAGCCAAAGGGCTGTACTGTGATAGTGCTGTCTTCTGGTGCTTATTGATTGACATAAAGTCGTCCCTGGTCCTATGGACAGAGTCGGAGGTAGAAGTCCAAGACAGGAGAAAGGGGTGGCAGCTAATGTGGTTTTAGAATTGGATAGTGCAGGGTGGTATTGTCACCCTACGAGGGGTGACAGGATAATTATAATGGTAGCCGTGGTGGGTACCAAGCTGTGTTTTACCCACACTTCTTGCATCCTCACTTGAAGCTCACCGTGGCTTAGGAACCATCAGCTCCACTTCACAGAGGAAGTAACTGGTTCAGAAAGGTTATGTGACTTGTTCAAGGTCATGAGCTAGTTTATTGTAGAGGGGATGCCAGACCCATCACAGCCCCTCCTCTGCTTCATGGGTTGAGCTGGTGTCTGCCCTGTGGGTTAGAATGATTGCAGGTAGCACAGCAGGTTTCATTTGACTCTGTGACAATGCTAGAAGAAAGGTGTTACAGTCCCATCGCATAAGAGAAGAGTGAGGCTGAGACCTGAGTTGTGTGGTGGAGTGGGAACTGCATGCTAGTGATCGCCAAGGCAGGGCCCTTCAGGGTACAGACACCTTGCCTTTGGGGTAAAAGTGCAGCTGTGGCTCTGAGTTGGTATCCCATTTTGCCATCCCATCCTCTAAGGCATACCCACTGGCCTGGTTTCCCTAGCAGGGTGGGAACAGGGCCAGGGCTCTGCTTCCTGCCCTGACAGGCTCTTGCTTGGTACTCAGGGAGCTGCAGGAGAGGGAGAAGGCCCTGCGGCTACAGAAGGAGCGACTGCAGAGGGAACTGGAGGAGAAGAAGAAGGTAGGGGGAAGTCACGGGCGGGCTTCTCTGGGCCTGCTGGGCTGTGGCTGGGGAGATGGTAGCTTGATTTCAGTCTCTGGCGCAGAGCCTGCCTGGCCTGCTGTGCTGCCTGGGGTGGCAGTGGGGCACATACATAACACCCTATTGTTGGCTGGGTTGCAGGAGGAGGAGCAGCGCCTGGCTGAGCAGCAGCTGCAGGAGGAGCAGGCGCGCAAAGCCAAGAAGGCGACTGGAGCCAGCAAGGGCCTGAATGTGACCATAGATGTGCAGGTGAGGCCAGTGCCCAGGGTGGCCAGGGGCCCGCTCTTGTTCTCTGTCCAGACAGGGGCTTTATAAGTTAGGACCTTAAGGAGGATGGTCCACCTCCTTGTTGTATCTACTGTTTTTGATAGGTATATTATTTTTATATTCTAAAAGTAGAATTTGTTACTAAAAAAAAGTTTTAATAAAAGTATAAAGTTTAAAAAAAGGGCCCTTGGGAAACTACTAAACTCAATATATATCTTAGAGTTTTACATATGTAACCAGGTCATGCACACAAACACATGGACGTACTTTTCCATACATATACACTTGTACATTTTTAAATGAGTATGACCATATACTATTTGGAAGTTTGATTTTTCTTTTTTCATTTAGTGTATATTATAGACATTTCAACACGTGCATTTCTTTTTTTCCCCGTTTTTTAAACTGGTGCATTATAATTATACGAATAGTGGAATTCATTGTGATGTATTTGTACATGCACCCAGCATAATTTGATCAGTCTCATTCCCCATTACCTCCCCTTTCCCTCCCCTTCCTTCCTTCTCTGATACCCTTCCTCTGTTCTTCTGGTTTCCCTTCTATTTTTATGAGATCCTCCCCCTCCCACCACCCTTTTTTTCTTTTTTCCTTTCTAATTTCTGTACATGAGAGACAATCATATGTCCCTTGAGTTTCTGAATCTGGCTTATTTCATTTAACATCATCTCAAGTTCCATCCATTTTCCTGCAAATGACATAATTTTGTTCTTTACGGCTGAATAAAACTCCATTGTGTACATATACCTTTTTTCTATCGGTAAACATCAAGGCTGGTTCCAGGGGCTGGGGATGTGGCTCAAGCCGTAGCACGCTCGCCTGGCACTGGGTTCGATCCTCAGCATCACATAAAAATAAAATAAAGATATTGTGTCCACCAAAAATTTAAAAATAAATATTAAAAAAAAATTCTCTTTTCTCTCTTTAAAAAAAAAAAGGCTGGTTCCGTGATTTGGCTATTATGAATTGTGCTGCTATGAATATGGGCGTGTCTGTGTTGCTATAGTGCGCTGGCTTGGTTCTTTTGGGTAGATACTGAGCAGTGGCATAGCTGGGTCATATGGTGGTTTCATTCCTGTCTTTTGAGGAACTGCCATACTGATTTCCATAGTGGTTGTACTGATACACAATCCCATCAACAGTGTAAAAATGTTCGTTTTTCCTCACACCCTTTTGAACATTTATTTTTGTTTTATTCTTGATGTTTGCCCTTCTAACTGAAGTGAGATATCAACACATGTGCATTTCTTAATTTTTTTTCCACATTTTTTCCCCTTGGTATATTATTGTTGTAAGTGATGATGGGATTTGTTGTTACGTGTTGGTGCAGGCACACAATATAACAATGTATTCTGGCCAATCTCTCTCCCCAGCTCTGCCCCCTGTGCATTTCTTATTTTTGAGGTCTGTGTCCCCATTCTTTATATTAGAATTTAGCCAGCTCCTGCTGAGCATTTCAGCTATTTTCAGTTCAGTGATGATACCAAACAAAACAGTGTGAAGGAAGGGTTTTCACTGCAGCAAAGTTAAGATGTTGAAAACTGGAAGTTGGGTCTGTCCATCTATGTCGGAGGGTTAAGTTGAAGATCATGGATCTGAGAGGTGGATCTGGACATACTGACCTGGAAAAATATTTGTGTGGAAAACGAATATGCAGAGTAGTATGTATTCTGTGACTTTTTAAGATTAAAATGTGACCCCAAACCTTTTGTTTTTTCCTGTGAGGTGAGGGAAGGTGGCTGGAGCCCAGCGTCCCCCAGTGGTGGGATGTAGGAAGGTAGGGGAAGGGAGGTGATGGCCATATTGATTTTTTTTTTTTTCCCCCCAGTCTCCAGTTTGTACCTCATATCAAATGACTCCACAAGGGCCCAGGACCTACCCCAAAATCATTACAGAGGATTATGGGATGGACCTGAATAGTGATGACTCTACTGATGATGAGGCCAACCCCCGGAAGCCTATTCCCCTCTGGGCCCAAGGTAAGCAGGGCCTAGAGTGCCCAGGAGACTCAGGCCGTTGCCTCTCCTCACTTTCTCAGGCCCTGGAAGTGGCAGGTAGACTGTTGCAGGTGGCCAGGCTATTGTGCTGGGGTTGACAGCTTGAGAAACTGGCCTAAGAAGCCTGCATGGAGCCTGTGGGCTCATCTGAGGACCAGCCTAGGGTGGTGGGTGCCTGTTTTCTTAATGAGTACATTGTGGCCAGCCCAGGCAAGGCATGCTACCAGGCGCTCTGATGGACTCAAGCTCCTCTCAGAGCCCCACTCAGGAGGGCCAATGAGGCTTAGACCCACATAAGCAACCTGTCGGGCTGAGGATGGTAGTAGGGTTTAGGCAGAGTGCCAAGAGCTGGAGCCAGGGGCTTCAAGCCATTGGGAATGGCAGGAAAGACCTGGAGGAGGGCCACGGGACACTTGATCAGGATTTGACCTGGAATTTACAGGCCCCAGCATCTAAACAGCGTGCGGGCGAGTGAGACTGCTGCCCTGGGCTGGGTGCGAGGCCTGCCGGCGTGGAGCAGGGCCTGGTGCCATCAGTAGTGGTTTGCAGGGTGTGTGCTGGGGTCCGGGCAGGATGCAGACCTCCAGAGGGCTAGACCGGTCCCAGCCAGGAATCCCACAGGGGGTCAGCGCTCTACAGAAGACAGCTTGCTTTTGTCAGTTTCACTTCCTTTGAACCCCACGATAGCTGGAATCTTGGTCGAACTAGAAGTGTCAAGTCACCCAAGAGGCTGCAGTGAGCAGGGGCGAGTGCCAGCAGAGAAGCCACCTAAGCTTAGTTGACCTTAGACAGTTTACTTATCTGTTAGCTGGGTTAACAGTAAAACCTGGCTGAGGAGATTTTTGGGGAATACAATGAGTGCTGAGTGGTGCCCGCTGCCCGGCAAGTGCTGGGTGCACATTCCCACCTCTGATCCCTCAGGGTCTTCCTCAGCTTTGCTGGCAGGGCTGTGCCCTCTCACGGCCTCAGCTCTGTCCCCTGTCAGCCTGTGCTCTGAGGCGAGGAGGCTCGCTTGGTGCTTCAGCTCTGGGCGAGACCTGTCTTCACGCCCGGCTCCACTAGCCACGTACTCTGTTCCCTGGGGCAAGTCTTCCATCTACACAACGGGAAAATAAAGCACCTGCTTCTGTCCGCTCTTGGGGAACTTTGGTTCAGCTGCCAGAGGACTGCAGACGAACAAGAGCTGGTGTGGGTGGCGGGTGAGCCTGAAGAAGGCTCTGCAAGAGGAGCAGGGGCAGGGCATGCTAGGGTGGCGAGAGTGGCAGGGCTGTGTGTAGGGCAAGGGACAGGGACCTCATGGAGCACCTAAGACACTGACCAGGCCTCTGCATTCCACGTAGGCGCCCAGCTCTCACAGACTTTCATCTCTCAATACTTTAACCCACCGGACACTAAGGAGCTTTTTGGACCCATTCTCCCGCTGGACTTGGAGGACATCTTCAAGAAGAGCAAGCCCCGCTACCACAAGCGCACCAGCTCGGCTGTCTGGAACTCGCCGCCCCTGCAGGGCACCAGGACCCCTGGCATCCTGGTCCACAATCTGAAGAAGTACTGAAGCAGGCCCATGGCCTCTCTGCTGTCTCTGCGCCCATCTGTCTGTCTGTCTCTGTGTTGGCTGACATCTTCCTGCTTGGTCTGTCAGTGCTGAGGGCTTGGTCAGGTGGCTGTGAGCCTCCTTGGTGTGCGGGTGTTTGTGCTGCAGATGGAAGGTGGCCCCAGGCCTGCAGGGGCCATGGGCTTAGTGGATGGCTGGGGAGGAAGCAGGCCCAGCCCCAACCAGCCTGCAGGCAGCACTGTGTAAATAGATTATTACAATTCAGCAGAATTTTAGTCTGTAGAGTTTTAGAGGTAGATTAATAAAGTGCATTCTTTCCAGCCTTCTGTGGATGTCGTGAAGACCAGGCTCTGCGGCATCATGCCCCAGATCCTGGTCCTGCAGGCATGTGTCTCTGGCCACCAGACGGTCTGGAGAAGCAAGGCACTGCTCCTTCATCTGGGTGTGCTCCGTGGTCACTGGTGGGGGGATCCCGCTCCAGAGGTACTGACTTGAGGGCTGAATCCGATACCCGGGGAGACACTTTAATGACTTCATGATGGGGCAGTGAAGATGCTTGCTGTTAGTAAAGGAATTTCATTCTTTTGGAAAGACTTGGGCCTTGACACAGCCCTGCCACTTAGTCCCTCAGCCTAGCTACTCCTCAGGCTCCACCCTTGCTGCATGGGTGGTGAAAGGACTTGAAAGAGTTCAAGTGCATGAGCTCTGATTAGAAAAAAAGGAGGTCCTTTGAGACCACCTTGGGACCAGGGCAGTGGGAGAGTGCCCCAACATTGAGACCAGACAGCTGCTAATTAAATGGTTGGTGCCAATCAAGAGTGGCCCTGGTCCTGGCTACTAGGTGTCCTGCTGCTCTAAGTCCCTAGAGTCGAGGTTGGTAAACTATGGCCCATGGGCCAGATCAAGCCACAGTCAAGTTTTAGTTTTATTGGAACATGCAGATTGGAAATGCTGGTTAGTCTGTCCGTCCCCACCTGCTCTCACTTGAGGGTAGAATTACGTTTTGCAGCAGAAGCCTTGTGGCTTATAAAGCTGACAATTTTTGTTGTCTGAACCTGTACAGAAAAACTTCCTGACCCCTACTTTAGGATAAAATAAAGGCTAAATAGCAGAATGCTTTAAAAAGAAAAGAAATGGTGAACTCACATGATAAACCAAAGCTAGAAGATTCTGCCCATGCGAAGAAAAACATTTTACAGTTCATTCAAATATGGTGGACATGCAGATTTGTTTCATCTGTTCTCCTGACTGGAAACTTACGTTAAGTAAACTGGAGAGCATGTCTTTGTCTGAAATCATAACATCAAATTTTCACTGTGATAAGCATATTGATACAGCGTGTCCAAGAAGCACTTATTCAACAGAAAGGCAATTTAAGTTGTGTCTTGATCAGCATTTGATGTTGTCCGTATTTCTTTATCCACTGTAATAGGAGTGTAGTGGTGTCTCATGGTTTTAATATTTCCTCAAGGCTGAAAAGGGTGTATATTTTTTCAAGTGCCTATTTGCCTTCTGTATATCATTTTTGGTGAAGAATCTGTTCAAGTCTCACTCAGTCCTAAATTGTGTTGTTTAACCATTGAATTTAAGAATCCTTGCATGGTGTAAATACAAGTCTGCTGCCAGATACGTGCTCTGTACTATTTTCTGCCGTTCTGCAGCTTGCCTTTTCATTTACTTCCAGTCACAGAGCAAACATTTTAAATTCAGCAAGTCTACTTATCATTTTATGGGTTATACTTTTTTGATGTCATGTCCAAAAGAAATCTTTGTTTAGCGTCAAGTCCCAAAGCTTTTGTATGTTTCCTTCTGAATGTTTTCTTATTCTAAATGTTATATTTAGACATGAGATAACTTTTAGTTTGAGATGACTTTTTAAAGTGTGAGGTTCATGCTTTTTGTTTTTATTTGGGGCACGTGGACGGATGTCTAGTTGTTTCAGCACCATTTGTTGAAAAGACTGTCCTTCCTCCACTGAATGTCCTTGGTATCTCTGTCAAGAATCAGTCAGCCACGTTCATTTGGGCCTATATAGGACTTTTTTTCTTCATTCATCTGTGTCTCTTCTTTTGCCAAAACCACATGGCCAAGATTGCCATACTTTGTAATAATCTCAAAATCTGATAATTTAAACCCTCCAGATTTCTTTTTCCTTTCCAATTTGTTTTTACTATTAATTTTACCTTTCTACATATATTTTAGAATTGGTCTATCTATACAAAAGTCCTGCTTGGGTTTCCATTGGAATTTCATTGTAGATGAGTTTGGAGGTAAATTCACATACTTACAATAGTGAGTTTTGTGATTCGTGCATGTGATATGTCTCCATGTATTCACATTTTATAGTTTCTGTCATCAGCACATTGTAGTTTTGGCATACATTATCTTGTACATATTTCGTTAAATATTTATTTTCTGGCCATTATTGTAAATAGTTTTGTTTTTCTAATTTTTGAACTATGCTTGTTCATTGCTGATATATAGAATTACAAATGATTTTTGTGTGTTGGCCTTGTATCTTATGGTGCAACTAAAGTAATATTCAGATGAAAATTTATAGGACTAACTGCCTATGATAGGAGTAAAAAGGTCTCAGTAATAATTTCTATTTCCACTTTTCCAAAGTAGAAAAACAGTATCAAATTGAAGTGTAAGAAGAAAAGTAGCAAAGTAGAGCAGAATTCAGTGACACTAGAGAGAGAAAACAGAAAAACAGCAGAAAATTAAAGCTGTTTCTTTGAGAAGCTTAAAAAATTCATAAACCTCTGTCTAGACTGGTTAGGAGAAAAAGATATAACAGATTACCCCTGTCAGGAGAGAGAGATCACACCATTACAGATCGTACAGATGTTTATGATCATTAGAGACTATCTGAAACACTTAGGGCAGCACATTTGATGATTTAAATGAAATAAACACAAATTCCTTGGAAGGTAGAAATTATCTCAGTTTACTCAAGAAATAGTAGTCCTATTTTTTTTTTAAATTGGTTGTTCAAAACATTACAAAGCTCTTGACATATCATATTTCATACATTAGATTCAAGTGGGTTATGAACTCCCATTTTTACCCCAAATACAGATTGCAGAATCATATCGGTTACACATCCACATTTTTACATGATGCCATATTAGTGACTGTTGTATTCTGCTACCTTTCCTATCCTCTACTATCCCTCCTCCCCTCCCCTCCCATCTTCTCTCTCTACCCCATCTACTGTATTCATTTCTCTCCTTGTTTTTTTTTCCATTCCCCTCACAACCTGGTATATGTAATTTTGTATAACAATGAGGGTCTCCTTCCATTTCCATGCAATTTCCCTTTTCTCTCCCTTTCCCTCCCACCTCATGTCTCTGTTTAATGTTAATCTTTTCCTCCTGCTCCTCTTCCCTGCTCTGTTCTTAGTTGCTCTCATTATATCAAAGAAGACATTTGGCATTTGTTTTTTAGGGATTGGCTAGCTTCACTTAGCATAATCTGCTCTAGTGCCATCCATTTCCCCGCAAATTCCATGATTTTGTCATTTTTTAGTGCTGCGTAATACTCCATTGTGTATAAATGCCACATTTTTTTTATCCATTCTTCTTTTGAAGGGCATCTGGGTTGGTTCCACAGTCTAGCTATTGTGAGTTGTGTAAGTAGTCCTATTTGTAAGAGAATTTGATTTTTAGTTCCTCTCACAAAGAACACTCTAGGTATAGATGGTGTTAGTGGTACTTGTTACCACATTTTAAAAGAAGAAATAATACCAACTTTACACAACTTCTCTCTGAAAACTAAAGAGGAAGGAACACTTGTGAGTCTTCTGAGGCCAGTATTGCCCTGATCCCCAAACCACACACAGGTGTTTCAAGGAAATTGGATCATCATCCCTCATGAACATAAACACATTCTCAACAAAATTTTAGCAAATCAGATTCTACAAAATACCTTCATAAATACACTGGGTAACAGACTAAGTGAGATTTATTTCAGGAATGCAAGGTAGGGTTAACATTGGAAAGTTAATGAAATTTACCACATTAACAATGCTAAAGGAAAATCATGACTAAGTAGATGGACAAGTTCGACAATTCTATGCAAATAACTCATGATAAAGGCTCTAAGTACATTTAGGATTTAAAGAAAATTTCTTCACCTTGATAAAGCTTCTATTTAAAAAACCCACAAAACAAACCTAACATGCATACTAAATGGTGAATGTCTGAATGCAGTCCTTATACTGAGCTCAATGCAAGGATGCTGACTCTACTTCTGAGCATTTCACTAGAGGTTGTAGAGTGCAGTAGAAAAAAAAGTATTGGAAAGGATCTTCAGAGGCTGGGGGTGTAGCTCAGAGGCAGAGTGTGTGTTTGGCATGAGAGGCCCAGGGTTCAATTGCTAGCACAAAAACAAATGATGATAACCTCTAGAGAATCCAGTATTATTAACCAAAGGCTGGTAGGTAGTAAGTCAGTTTAGTATGGTTGCAGGATACAAGAATGATATGCAAAATGTTATTGTATTTCTGTGTATTGGCTATGTGCAATCAAATTCAAATAAAAATAGAAGTTTCAGTAATGTTAAATATCAAAATCTTAGGAATAAATTTGAGGGAAAAAAAGATCTGAAGCCCTATGCAGTGAAAAATAACAAAACATTTCTGAGGGAAATGAATGAAGACATGGGGTATATACTGTGTTCATGGGTTGGATCCTCCATATTTTTAAAATGTCAGTCTTCCCCAATGATTTTAGTCAACCTTAACCAAGCCCAATATCCTCCTTTTTGGAGGATGGAAGGGTAAAAGTTTATTACAAATTAGTTTAAAAATTCATATTTAACTACAAAGAGTTTTTAATAACCCAAATGACAAAAAAAAAAAAAAACAAATTTGGAGAGGTCACACAACAGGACTTTTTAAGACAATACAAAGCTACAGAAATCAGGACAGTATGGTATTGGCATCATGGTAGATGGAGATCTGGAATTTTAAGAGTCTAGAAATAGTTCTATACCATATCTAATTGGTTTGTTTTCAGTAAAGGTAAAAAGGAAGTTCAGTGTGGGGGGCATACTTTTTCAACATCTTATCTGGTCCAGTTGGATATATTTGAAAAATCATTACATGTCCTTACATATATCAGAATTAATTTATGATGGATCATAGGCCTAAATGTAAAAGCTAAAAATGTTAAGGACTTCTAGAGGAAAACAGGAAACGGATCTTAAGTGTCTTTGTGTTTGACAGAGATTTCTTACATGACACAAAAAGTATAAAGTATAAAAAAGTAATAAATTATAGTTCATCAAAATTAAACCCCTTTGCTTTTTAAAAATTTGCTGGTTCTTTTTAGTTATACATGGATTCTACTGTCATGTATAATCCCTCTGCTTTTCAAAAGTCACTGTTAGCCACCAACTTGTTTTTTCCCCCTTGCTGGAGGGATGCTGTACACGACCTGTCCTACAGAGTGGGCCCCTCTTCACCACCTAGCCAGAGCGATGCAACACAGGCTTACCCAGGCTCTCAGCAAGACCAGTCCCTGACTGCCAACCCCACCCCTCACTGTGGCCCACCCCTTCCTTACCCGACACACATCCTTGTCAAACCCGAGTTACTTAGCTGCCCTGTAAGGCTCAGGTAGAGGTGGACAAACCTTTCTGACTCCATCTGCTTGTGACAGCCCAAGCCCAAGTCCACGTGCTGTAGTGGGGTTGGGGGCCATGAGCCGAGGTAGTCTGAATGCTGGGCGAGTTCTGCTTGGCCAGAGCCATCGTTATAGCCTTTGTTTGCTCCCTTTGGGCTTCTGTGATGCAGAGATTCCTAGAGAAGGTTTAGGAAAGAAGGCAGAGGAGGCTTAGAAGGGAAGCAGTCTTCTGTCAGCAGCTCGATGCTGTGACAAAATACCTGTGGAAAAACCTGGAGGAGGAAATTATTTTCTCTCATGGTTTCAGAGATTTCAGTTCCTGGTCATTTGGCTCCATTGCTTTGGGCCTGAGGCAAGGCAGAACATTTTGGCTGGGAACATGTGGTTGAGCAAGAGGCTCACTTCGTGATGGGGGATGGAAGGGGGGGAGAGAGAGAGAGGGGAAGAACATTTTAGATATAAACCATATAAAGCCATCACCTGTATTCCGGGGGTTACAGATGACCCGGAGCCCCAGCTGCAGTCATCATCTGAGTCTTCTGGAGCTCAACTGAGGCTCCTTTGGACATCTGTAGAAACCTGGATGGTAGCACATGAAACCAGAGTCTGAGCTACTGCAGCTCGGACTTGTATCCCTTACTGAGCTTGATCCCTTAATCAGCCAATAAAAAATAACTCCCCCCCCCCCGCTGTCTAATCAAGTTTGAAATTTTTCCACAAAAGCAGTTTACCTTGCATGCTGAGAAGGGAAGCACACTCATTGTCTTGCAGTGGTGAGCTAAGCTGCATTACGCATAACCATACCTCGACAGACACTTGATTTTATTGCAACTTATTAAGTCTGAGTGTGGACATGAAGGCCAACACTGATTCAGGTTAGTTGACTAAATTCATAAAACTTATAATAATAATAATAACAACATTATCATTAATAATAGTATTATTAATAACATTATTGTTATTATTATGGTTCTGGGCATTGAACCCAAAGGTGCCTTTACCTTTGACCCACATCCCTAGTACTTTTTATTTTTTATTTTGATACAGGGTCTTATTAAGTTGCTGATGTTGGCCTCAAACTAGTGATCCTCCTGCCTTAGTTATCTGAGTTGCTGGGATTACAGGTGTGGGCCACCACATCAGGCTATGAAGCTTTAATCTTGGTAATAGAGGTTCATTTCAGCTTAATCTGGAGCTAAAAGAAGAGGAGGCCATAACTCATGCATGCTATGACATTTGTTTGGATCTCTATTGGCTCTGTCTGCTCTGCCTCTAGTCTGGAGGGGTCCGTAGCAGTGGAGAATTGGTTCCAGGGAAGCAGAGGAGGGGAACTTCAAGAGTGTATTTAGTGTCTCAATTGTGATTAGAGAATAGCCGAGAAAGGGGCCCACTGAGTGTCCCCTGTGGTCCCTGTGCTGGGATTCTTTAACAAAATAACTATGGGGTTACCCCCAATGTGGGCTCCTAGAATGAATTGCTTGGCCTCAGAAACCTTGTAAAGGTGTTGGGGGGGCAACCACTGTGGGAGGCCATCCTCGCATGTGATTTGAGTTACTTCCCTGGCTGGGTGAGAGGCGCTTAGACACAGCTGTGTCAGAGCCTTCCTTTTCCAGGTCCGAGGGCTTGTCCGTGCAGAGGCATGCCTGGCTACTGCCCTGAAGACCCAATCATCACCCCTGACCTTGGGATGCTGCCCCCCTTAACCTTCATTGGATGGGATTTTCCTTGGAATTTTTTGTTCTCCAATTAAAGCTCACTCCCTGAGCGCTCTCTCTCTCTCTCTCTCTCTCTCTCTCTCTCTCTCTCTCTCTCTCTCTCTCTCTTGTCTCTTCTGCAAACCTTGCCACCGCCACCGCATTAGGTGGCTG